TATTATAGATCAAAACTTAAATTAAATAAAATGCAGTGAAATTGAATGATATGTTTTCAAGGTGGGACCCTCATCTGCTAATGAAGCAGACCTTACCATGTATTACGTACCTTAAATTCAACAGACAAAGAAGAAAGTACGGTATGAACAAAAATCCGCCCAGTCCCAAAATCTTATTAAATTGTTCTTGAAACATGTCTAGAGTAAACACTTCCTATGTCATTTTAATTTTTGTTATTATCTCAAACCATTTCGTCAAGAGAGCTCTTCAAATATAAGTAGTTTTCGTAAGAAAATAACGCTTTGACGTGATGACGTCGTCAACTTGGCGTTATCGAATTTCAACGTTTTAATCCCGATACAGCGCCAAACAAAAAATTTTGAAGTGAAAAAAAAGTTATAGCTTACTCTTCTGTTCCATTCTTAAAATGTGGAGCGAGTTTAAATTTCGCTTAATATAAAAATTAATTTTCTTTAGTGGAAGTATTGTTGGTCATTGATTTTGCTACTTTTTGCGAGAAAACGATTCATCAAGAAATTCAACGGAACATTTATAGCTTGAATTAGTCCATTATTCCAATTTTTGCTCACGGTGAAATCTTCAAGTTCCGAATGAACATATATCTTTCTTTTATTCAGTTAGATTGTGTGTGTGAGGGTGTGTGTGTGTGTGTACAGAATAAGTTTGTAAATAGAAAATTAACACGAGGACATACATCATAGATATACGAAGTAACTGCATGCGACATTGTTCGTGTATTATTATGATGGTTCTAAATGAAGACGGCTATCTTAATTTGACTTTTGTTGATGACATGTATATAAATTAACCTAAGACAATTTTCAGTTGTGTTTTTTTTTCAATACACATGTATACAAGAACATCTTTTTTTTTTACAAAAAAAACACGTCAGGATATTTAAATCTCATTGGCGTCGGGAGCAAATTGAAAGTGGTGGTGGTGGTGGTGGGGGGGGGGGGGGGGGGGGCTAGGCGTAAAAAAATGTTATACATTCAAAAGAACCTGACAAGCAAAAAAAAAAAAAAATAAATAAAATAAAAAAGGAAATGTGCATTGGCCAAACACGAAAATCTTATTTCGTTTGTGAGGTGTGTGTGTGTGTGTGTGTGGGGGGGGGGATAGATTTGAACTTCAGCACCAAAATTTTTTCCAAACACCAACACTTTCCCCAATTATTTAAGCCTGTACTGCAACATGTCTGTGGGGAGGGGGGATAACCCTACGCAGCAGCGTCCGATGTCTATACTAAGCCTATCTTTGAAAAAAAAAGTGGGGCCCGCACTGTTCCGACGTCTATATGGATCTCTGTAAAAGCATGCAAAAACATTCCAAATTTAAATTCCACATTTAAATAATTAGCATTGTAAATTCCCCCTCTGACAAGTTGCGTTCAATCATTAATCCACCCTTATGATAGGATTTTCAGCATTATTGAATCACACGTTATGCACATACTTTAATTGCAGACTAATCTGTCATCATGTTTATTAAATGCAAATATATCTAACCTTAGTATTTTTATCGACTTGCGTTTAATTTTTTTTTACAGATCTTTGTTTATGCTCCGAAATTCGGAGCGAAAACGACATCTTATTTTAATCAGATTGCCCTTGATGGCAAATAAGGGCGTCTTCGTATACGAGTGAAAAATTCGCGAGAGGTTAAACATCGATATATCATTAGTGCTTTAAAATTAAAATGCGGGATATACATTATTCAGAGTTATATAACACTTGTAAATCTCTTTTTGTATAATTCTGATTAGAAACATAAATTCACACGAATAAGTTGTCATTTTAATTTGATTTAATGGAGGATGTAAATTCAATCTAAATTTTTAAGCTATATATGGCATATCTGAGCTAAAAAAAAATACGCGATTAAGTGTAGATTAAGATAATATTTGCTATCTACGTTCAAATAATTTGTTTTTCATGAATTTGAACTTTAATATTCCCAAGTTTCAGTGGGTTAAATTGACTTTCAACTGCGTCTGATATTTTTTTATCCAATCCGGAAATAAATGTATATATACATGTATTATTGCTTTAAATCTCGGATATCCATGAAACGTGATTGATTTATATTGTGTAAATTACAGGAATTCAGATCTTTATATAAAGCTACAAAATAAATACAAATATCTTTTTAGTTTATTTTGTCTGCACGCCATTTATGACTTTAAAGCAATTATTCTCAGGATTTAATGAATATAAATGTTCTTTGTGAACCATGCATCTTAATCAAACATTTTTTCACAGCACTTATTTCAATGAATGTAAACTTGAAACTATACCTTTACAAGATGATGATGAAAACTTTTATAATGGATAAGGGTTAATAATAGCTAAGTTTATTAAACGTTCACTTTTTGATATCAAAGGGAGCAGTGAGTCGGAAATGTGTTACAGCTCTTTTCCCCAGACAAAAAAAAAAAAACCAAAAAAAAAAAAAACCAAAAAAAAAAAAAAAAAAAAAAAAAAAACATGATGAAAATTGGGACTGATCAGGAGTGGCAATATATCAATAAGGGCCGCCACGCTATGCATATTTTGCTTTGCAAGGTACCGATAAAGATGACCCGCGTATTTTTTTTTATAATAATTGTTTCAACGAACCCCTCTCATCCAAAATGCCCCCCCCCCCCCAAAAAAAAAAAAAAAAAAAAGAAAACAAACAAACAAAACAAAAACATGTGTTTGATTTTTTCTTGTTTACTTATGTCGCTTCTTAACTCCGTCGTCTTTTGACGTTTTGGGATCCCTGACAGATACATGTAATTAATTACAATCATTTTTGTTTATGTAGCAATTTTTATTTAAAAGAAAGACACCATGTGAAAAAATAGGCCTTTTTTCGTTAATTCATCGTGGGATATAAACATCTCTTAAAATGTAGATTGGTGCATTCAAAATTTTATCGAGATGGCACAATAAGCAACAAATACAGAGCGTGAAATTAGATATTAACATTTTCGAGTAGGCCTATCGTTTTTTATATTAATTTTCCATCTGGCTGCGGGAAGGATATATTTTAAAATCTATCCGAACGTTTGTGCCGTATATATGTACGTATACATGTGCGTTTGTATCAGAATGCTACCATGTATGGCCTCGGAATATTGATAAATTTGAACAGATTTTTCAAAGGATTATAATATTTTATATAGTGTTTTGAATAAAAAAATGAATGATAGGAAAATCAAACAAGATCTATTGTGACGTCATCTTTGCGTTATTACGTAATTTATTCACATCTGCTGATGGTAGCTATGAACTCTCTCATTTCCAAAATAAAATTATACCGTTGGCATAAATAAGAAGCCGGTTTTCTCCTTCTGTGCTAATTAATACGATTCAATTGATTTTTTTTTCTTTAGCGTTTTCTTTGGCTCTTTATCCTTATCGGAAATATTTGTCAGATGCAGGTTAGGCCTACACATCGCAGGGCCATCGTCATCTGCCTTATTATCCTAGCATATTTTCCAGTTTGTATGCTATTTTTTTGAAAAACATGGAACATGAATATATTGCCGATGCATGAAGTATTTCTTAATAACATTTTTTAATGAATTATGGTAACATAATTTCACATGAATAAAATTACACCTCTCAATGAACTTTCAATCCGCCACCGGAAATAGTAATATAAAGTCAAAATAAACATACTGCACATTCCTCGAGCAAAATCTTATCCCTGTTTTCATCAGTCTTTCATCAAAATGTTTTGAAATATATGTGTTTAATTTTGCTCGAGGAATGTGCAGTATGTCAATTTTATAAATATTTGTTGAAAAAAGTGGAAAAACTAGCAATTTCCGGAAAAAAACGGATCTTTAAACGTGTTGTGTACGTCTAAATAACGGAGTGTGGAAATTTTGCTTCGCATATTTCAAAACTACCAATCTTCTAGTACATGCACAGAGTTTTTATAATTTGGCAAACCTATTTATTAAATTGCAGAAAATAGTGGGCCTCTGTATAATAGGTAACGTACTTAATTCTTTGTTTGTTTGTTGTTTAATGTCCCTTCGAAAATGTATTCACTCACATAGAGACGCTAAGACACCTAAAAAAGACACTTAATTATAGTCCTGGTATATTTTATTAACGAATTGTTTTAAGAGTAAAGAATTCTAATTAGCTAAAGGCATAAGATTGAGACGTCGCCATTGTTTTATGAAGAAGTAACTCTCTGTAATCACAACAGAGTGCTATTTTGATTCCAACAAATGCTTGAAAATCACAGAACAATGTCGGCTGTTCTGATAAAAACTGATTTTGATGAAATTTTATTTTATAAAATTGGTTAACAATAAAAAAATATTTGAATCATCTTATTTATAAAAGTTACATTGAAATCAGACCAAAACTGTAGGTGAAGTAGCATTTTGAAACATTGTTTACAGACAGACGGACGACGGACTCATTACTGTCCCACAAGCTCTTCTGGTCTCTGACCAGTAGCGCTAAAACCTGTAAATAGAGGTAGATTGTTTGGTAAGCCCGCACGTAAGGTTCCTGACACCATATCAAGAAAGAACGAAAAGTGCTCGTAAGACATTTTGATACCGGTATTTATTTCTCTGCAATTTTTTTTCTAAAATAGAAGAATAATGGAAACGAGAAGCGTTTTTCAGAGGTAAAACTCCCCAAAGATTTCCATTAAAAATTTAAATATGATTTCCTAGTCGAAATATTTTTTTTTAATTAGAACTGACGCAATATAAAAAATTAATTAAAATCAATTCAATATCAACCAATGATAAAATTTGCGGGAATTTTTTTCTATGTACAAGAACAATTTCTGCAACAATGAGACATTCCCGTATATGGCCTTTTTCCTTATAACTCTTAAATCTGAATTGAAACAAATTATATTAAGGAAATATCTAATCAGTAATTGTATAGAACTTCATAAAGAACGGGAAACTAAAGCTATAACCAATCAAAATGCAAACCTCAAATAAAGGTTTAAGAAGAATTGGAAGCTTGCGTCCACCAGGACTTCTTGCTTCTTCACATTGCTTTGGGAAGGATTGTTTTTTAAATCTACAGGTAAATCCTCCGTTATCTCTTTTAATTGCTTGTTTGATGCTTTCAATAGTTCAAAAGTGCGTTTTTTAAATTTCTTTTTACGGTGTGTGGAAGGAAATTTACATATAATGGTATCTTGATACATTTATTGTCTTTTCTTGTTTTTTTTTTAACTTGATGAAAAAGAATTAGAGCATATCTACGAGGGGTGATCAAAAAGTTCGCAAACTAATAGAATAACTTCCATACAAGAAACAATATTTGGTTTTAATGTTGATTATATTTTAAATTAATCCTCCCCGATTTTAATGCACATCAACCACCGTTCTGCGCATGCGCGAATCACGTGATATTGGCGGTCACGTGACCCCCTCCGTAGTGTTCTGTCACAAAAGTTAAAGATTTTTCCGGTTTTTATATTTCTTTCCATGTGAAGTAAGGAGTCAATCCTTACGTCGCGGGTTCGAATCCCACTGTGGGACGTGGAGACCGGTCCTTCGGATGAGACCGTATAAACCGAGGCCCCGTGTCGCAGTAGGTGCTGGCAATAAAGAGATCCCTTACTGCTCAAAGGCCCTGAGTGCCGAGCATAGGACAAAATTTGTAGCCCTCCACCGGCAAGTGGTGGCGTCTCAATATGAGTGAAAAATTCTCGCGAGGGACGTTAAACAGTATCCAACAATCAATCAATCTTTCCATGTGAGTTAATTTTTATGACAAGAACAGTTAATTTGTCAGACATGGTCATATCTCGGCAACAGAATGGGTGGATAATAACATCCTTTCCAAAAATAAGCATTGCGACCACTAAAACACAAATCTTCCGTCTCAGGAGAGGTCTTTATTCAAGGTGGATAGAGAATGGGTGCATCCTTTTTATCATATCTAATATGTTTAAAATCTAAAGTAAACGATATCTTAGGTATTTAATACTTATATCATTGTTCAAATATTCAACTATTTTTCAAAGTGCTAATTGGAGGTCTTTGATAGCAAATTGCTTAATTAAAAATACATATCTTTTCAAACTTGCTTTCACTGGGCAAGATGACAAGTATCATTTTTAACCATCAGCCTTCCTTCACTAAAACGATTAATCCAATCATTAATTGAATCTATAGGAACTCATTTATGTAAATAAACTGTGTACAAATTATTATGTGATACTGTAGAGGGATTTCTAAGATATTACAATAAATTGTACAGTCGGTTGTTGAACGAGTTCGACCGAGACAAACATTTTTCGTCACAAGTGTCCTCATTAGTGACGTCATTTACACATTGTGACGTCACAAACAAGGAGAAAAACTTATTTCAGCATATGCTATTTATAGACCTTGTGTATGGCTATGTGGGTACCGAATTTCATTCTAATGATGTTAAGGTAGGTAAATACTATTAGAAATAACTGTCAAAGAGTTTATTTTTTCTCTCTAATAACTGAAACAACTCTTTAACCAACAAAGAAACCCATAAAACATGTACCTTTGCAGGATTATTTTCATACTACGTGCTAGAGAGCACATATACCCCAAACTTCAAATGCCAATTTTTAACACAAGAAGAAAACATTTCATATTTTATTCAAGTATGCAGCAAAGCACAATGTTTTGTGCTATAATCCATCCAATCTAATAGATAATCAATTACAAAGAGAATTGTTTGAGCAATTCAATTAAAAACATGTAACATTTAACATTTATATTGCTCACATCCATCAGAAAAAAACCCACATAATAGCATTATTTTGAAAAATTCCAAAATTTATATTGTTTACATGCCACTTTTTCTTTAAAAACATCTAGAATAATATCTAAGGTTACCAAAAACACATATTTTATCATGGTTGACCAGAGATATTTTATTAAATCATATCTTGAATACCCCTACCCCCATTTCGGTAATAGCATATTTTACCATTATATTTTACAAACTTTGAAAAATATTAAAATGTAACAAATAGATCCATTCTCAGAATGAAATACAAATGGAATATTAAAAAATACTGAAATTTTGGTCCTTCTAAACACTTAGAACACATATAGTTTGGGGGGGGGACCCTTCCCTGTTTTACATTTTTTCCCGTACAAGTACAAAATTCTTTTTACAATTTATAATCTCATACATATTAAAAGAACTGATGTAGTGTAACAAAAAATATATGTAGATTCTAGCAAGTATAGCTCATAAACATATAATTTTGTTGTATAAAAATACATGTACTTATTTCGAACTATAAAGAGTTCAAATACTCAACAACTTTGCCAATGATTTTCTGCGACTTTGTTATTCTTGGTGTCTTTGAACCAGATACAACCTCACTAAAGACAGTCTGAATCCCACTATGGGTGTCACGCTTATGTAAAAGTTTAAGCTTGTTTAGGCTTAGATTGTTAGCTGTAAGCCTGTTAGAGATCAGTGTAGATACTATGTTGCCTTGTACCAATGGAACTAATGAGGACTTTACACTGTAATAATTCATGGTAAATATATCTGAACCTTCACATTTGAATGCTAAATTTGACTCGTACAGTTCGCGTAAACTACAAACATCAGATAGAGCATTGTGTGCATCATAACTTTTCCCAAGACACAATCTGACTAAGGTTTCTTGCTTAAAATTCCCCATTGTTTTCCTGTCGGAAACTTTCTTTGCAAGTTTATGTGTATCTAAAAAACCTAAAACATTTTCAACAAATTGTTTAAGTAAACCATGTCTCTGCAAATGATATTGGAGAATTGGAAGATCACAGTTTTGAATATTGTGTCCAACAATGACTGGTTTTGATTCACAATCTCTAACAAAGTCTACAAACTGGGTCAAACCATCGACTTGACTCGTTGAAGGCACAGGTTCTCCATGAAGAATGAGCTGTCCCTTGTCATATCTGAGACCTGTTGCAGCCGATGCTTCCTTACAGATTGGTACACTGGGGTTCAGATAAACATTGATTGACCTATCTTCACAAACTGCAGCAATCTGTACGATGTCAGATGTTCTACCTGAAAGCAAAATTATACATGTTTATTTGATACCAAACCTGAAAATTGAAGTATTGATATTTGTTAGTAAAGGTTAAAAAGGTAAAGTGGGAAAAAATCTTACTAAGTCCGGTAGTTTCAAAATCAAAATACATGAAGCAGCTGCTCTCTGGAGAAATTATAAGGGGTTCTTGATCAATGTTATCAAGATCAACATCCTCCTCAAGACCAATATCTGATTTGTATGATTGTCCTGTGACAAAGAGAATTCAAGTGAATAATACTGAAATTCCAACAGCAATGGCTTCTCTAAATGTGTGAACAATAAACAATAAATTAAAGTAAAATGTTACACTGATTCAGTTCTATTTTAACTGAAACTGTACCTTCTAGAACATTCCTCGCTGCTTCTTTAGACAATCTGGCGGCTTTTAATTCCAATCGACGTCTCTTGGTGGACGGTAAACTCTGCATGAGACGTTTCCGTTTGAGCTTGTTGGCAAGTCTGATGGTATGCTTCATTGTGAAATTGCCAGGTGACAATGCCATTTTCTTGTTCAGCTGTAAGATATAATTTATGTTTTAGTAAATATTTTCATTTTGTGATTGTTCCATATTCATATAAAATGGTAAATTGGTTAATAAGAATAGGGATAAATTTTGAATGTAAATTTCTTAAGAAATCCATCCTCTAGGTACTTTATGTACATGTTTATGCAGATAAACATGATTGTAAACATCTTACTAAAGACTATTTGTTTTTATAATTTACAACATTTATTGTGGAAAACTATTAAAATCAAAAATATACTTTAAGAACACTAAATACAAATGCAAATAACATTTTATGGTTTGCCATAAAAAAGAAAGAAAACATAACACATAACAACAAACTGTAATGAAAAACAAATTTCAAAAATGATCAACTTGAAACTTTCAACACATTTTTCTACCTCTGATATGTAACCGTAACCCATATTCTTTTGGCAAACAGTAGCTGAGAGTCTAGCATGTAGACTCTCTGAACCTCCATAAAACCTACCAACACATTTTTTGGACTTTGAATCTCGCATTTCAGACTCAATTGTTAAGATCATATTCAGAACTGTTGTTCTAAACAGGAAGAAATAACCAAAGTACTTACAATCTTTTTGGGGCTTTAGTGGAGACCATATGGTTAAAGTTCTCATTGACTTGGGTGGATCCCATCATGGCCAGCTCCTCTGACTTACAGCAGTATTTCTTGAATAAAGCTTCTAAAGCTTCTCGGAGTAAGGTGCAGGATAGATGCTTTCCATATGGCAAATTTCGAGGCTTATAGTCAGTCTTTTTACTGTGACACCAAGTTCCACAGCATTCGTGTTCACCTTAAAAAAAAAGATCTGGTTAAAATGTTTTCATTCTTCATTCCTAATCTTCATTCCTAATTTTGTAATGACTTCTATATTGTTGATACTCTTACCATATAAATGTGGAACAATTTTGCCAAGTTCATTTTCAAGATCTTTAGCCTTGCCCCTGTTTTGCTGTACACAATACGTAAAACATCTAAAACAGAAGGAAAAAGACACTTATTTTTAAAAATAATAAGCCATAACATTTATAATTATGTGTAACAAGTTTTTTTGGACTACAGTTGACCAAGGGATATTGTACTGAAATATTACACTTCAGAAACACAAACCTTTCAATGTGACTTCTAAGTTTTTGATTTTTCAAAACTTTATGGGTGTTGGCAAGCTCAATCAAAGCTCCAGTAAAACCTTTTCTTGTATGGTTTTTGTCAGCTCTTTTATTAATGGCTGGGTCCACAGTGGCTTTTACGTGAGCAATGGTTGTTGAGTCATTGTCCATGACTAAAGTTCCTATCTGTGAAATACATTGGAAATTTGTACTTCAGTTAAAAAGCAAAGTTTTAAATATACATGTATATTATGGTACTAAACTGTACATCCATATTTGACATTACTGCTGATAAAAATTAAACATTCAATAAAAAGCTACCTTGCACCCTTCATCTTTGATTGCACTCAGCATTTCACAGGCCATGGCCGGCTCCATTGCTTTTGCCGATCCCTGCCAATTCTTTCGGCAGTTGTGTTTTCTGGGTGGAACTCCTTTAGCTGTTGCAGCTGAGCAGATTCTGCATTTTTTACTCTTTGAAGAGAAACTTACTATCTTTTTAGTTTTTTCTCCTACTAGAGATGCGTGACCTGTAACAAGATAAATACTGCTAGCATATAACTACATTTACATGTACATGTATTAGAATATGTAACTCTATATCTCAATCTTTATTGAGGAGGGAGAATCAAAACATGCAACAATAACATTATCACCAGGGCATACCAGTGAGACTATTGTATCCTCTACCAGTACCTCTCTTCTGCCAGGCACCATCAAAAGACACAGTGATGTCTTCATCACTCCTACAAAATGAATAACACAAATGTGCAATTACATGTATTATCAAATATTATTAACATGTAAATTCAAAACATAATTTATATATCAATACAAACAAAATAAATAAAAAAAATTACAGTTTCATTTCTTCTTGAAGAACTTCATTACAACTCTGCCCTGCCATTTCCTCTAAGTGTTTCCCCACCTCTCTTTCTCTGCTTTTAAGACTCTTGTTAGTGATCCCCGGGATATTCAATGCAGCCAGTAATGCATTTACATGAGTAATTCCATAACCACCATTTAGCATACCTAAGAGATTATTACCAGAAATAAAATGAAAATAAAATAATTATTTTACATTTTAACTTCTGTATTATTAGTATTAAATTATTTTTATATGCTTATTTGCAAGTCTAGATAAAATTTCTAATTTATACCTGCAGCCAGCTTTGTGTTGACATCCCAAGCATATTGCTTCATATCTGCTTTAACCCTATGTTTACTGCCCGTGGGTATGTCGTTAACATGGGCACAACTGGAATGCGTGCACTTTATCTGCAGAACCTGCAATTGACCAAAAGTTAACTGAAAGTGAAGGGGAATGCCGCATCTTTAAAAACGAATTTTTTAGGTACATAGTCATTGACAATATTTAATAAAAATAAATACCTGTCCTAGTCCAAATTTCCTTTCACCTACAGTGTTGACAAGCTGAAGTGCATTCCCACACATAACGCAATCTCTTTTCAAATTATCAACAAGAGTGCCGAGTTCTACAATCCGTCTACCGACACTCCATGAACTCTCTGCACTTTCTGCACTTTGACCATTAACGGTTCGTAGGACAGGGGAAGAATCATTTTCCAAGCACGGAGCATCATTTTTGGCATCTAATATTTACAAAATAAATGAATCTAATGATCGAATCTTTTGATACGTATTCCAACTGTCAAAAATAGAGCAGAACGCTCGCACAATACAGACACTTAGTACTTACCATGTTTACCTCGTAAGGCATGGGCTTCTCTTGCTTTCTTTAGCCCCTCAAGTCTGCGCAGGAACGAAGCTTTCCTGAATGTCCCTTTTTCAGACCGGGGCATCGTTGCATTTGTTTTCAATCGCATGAATTTTATGTTAAAACAAACCACCGAAAAATTTGCGCCAAGTCCAAGTGATAACCGGAAGTCTGATGTCGGTGTATAAAATTTAAAACCGGAAACGAAAAAGTATGGCCTTGCCTTAAAAATTTATAAAAGTTGATGGTTTTTAGAATTCGTTCTCCTAAGAACTGGAATATAAAACAAGGACTTGAAAATTTTTAGTAATATTTCAATGAAAAAACAAATATAGACAAATCACATTCAGTATAGGTTTACAGGTGAAAACAAATTTTAGAATATATTACATTGGTGCTAAAAGTGTAATATAAACTTAAGAAAAATATACCAAGCCAGGTAAATTTTATTAGGAAAACCTAAATGGTAAAAATCAGCCTATGTGAAATTGCTAATTTTTTTGTCATTTTGATCTTCCTCTTATACAATTACCTTAGATATAAAAGCTTAAGCTGCTATCTTCTCAGAACCTCAGTTCTCTCCAAATCCTGTATATGAAAAATATTGTATTTAATCTGAGTAAATTAAGATTAAATAATCAAGTTGTTTTTAATTTTTTATGGTGAAATTTATTAACTAGACTTTTGTAAGTGTGTAAAACTTGCCAAAGTGTATGATTTAGGGATCTTTAAACAAAGATACTTATTTTCAGATTTCTCTTAAAGAAAACAAAGGCCATGCGTGATTTCGCCACCTTAACCCTCGTCTGCTGCCTGATTTTAGTCAGTGTCTTCGAACACGGTAAGCCAGATTACAGTGTAGAAGCATTTTAACAACAGTTTACAAGATGTGATTGTAAAACTCTATGCACCCGGCGGCAAACAAAAAAAGCTTTTTTTAGCATACAGATCACGGTCATGATCACAAGGTCATTGACCTTGTCATTTGAAAGAACTTGATTATATAGTGGAGCATGCTCACCAAATATGAATTCTCTATCTTTTATGGTTCGAACGTTAAGGCGAAGGTACAAAAAAGTTTTTTAGCATACAGGTCACAGTCAAGGTCACAGTCATTGACCTTGATGCCATTTAAAAGAACTTAATTAGTGGAGTTTGTACACAAAATATATAGTCTCTATCTCTTATGGTTCAAAATTTATGGCGAAGGTGGTATGAAAAAGCTATTTTAGCAAACAGGTGACAGTCAAATTCACAAAGGTCATCGACCTTGGTGTCATTTGAAAGGTATTAATTAGTGGAATAAGCAAAACAAATATGAAATTGAAGTTTCGATCTCTAATGGTCAAAAAAAGAAGGGTGAAGCTTCAAAAATGCAATTTTTAGCATATTTGTGAGAGACGAGATCAGCAGGTCATTGAGCTTGGTGTCATTTGAAAGAACTGTAATAATAATAATTGTGCTTTATTTAAAGAAGGTAACCTGGTTACAACACAGTACTATTCTTCCTCGTGGCCTTCTATTATTCAAACTATATAAAATTGTTCAATCGAACATATATACACTGTACATGAAAAATGATAAGCTCATTATTAAAGTTAATAATCAGATGTTATGTACCAATTAATGAAAATATAAGACAATGAAATCATTGTAAGTCAATATACAAAGGTTACTTAGTTGATAATAATGACAAGGATATCTATAATAATAAAAATTAGACGTTGGGTAATTATAACTATTTTCCAAATTCTTTCTGAAAACAGGTAAAAATGGTGATCATTTAATATGTAATGGTAGGCTATTCCATAAATGTACGCCTGAAGAGAGTTTGTAAATAGAATTGTTCGATGCTTTTGTTATCGAGATTGTAGTTTAATTCTGAACGCAATGAGTAGGAATCAGAGCTATGAAAAATAAGAAGATCCTGGATATTAACATGGCTTATACCATAGAAAGTTTTATACAAAAGAATACATTTATGAAACGTCACTAACTCAAATGCATTTAACCATCCTAGTTTTTCAAACAAAGGCTTTGATGATTGATCAGGAGCTGCATCAAGAATAATTCTAGCAGCCCGTTTCTGAAGTTGATGAATTCTCTCAATGTTAGATTTGGACGCATTATCCTAGACTGTAAGACAACAGGTTATTGAAGGCAAAATGTAGAGTTTTCTGGTACTTAATGGCAGAAACTTCTTAATTTTAGGGATCGTAAATAACTTGTTTCTTAAGGATTTACAAACTGTATCAAATGACACTTACATGTATACTGAAGAGATTGATCTAACTGAATAACTGAAGAGTTGTTCAACTTCAACATTTTCCAAGGTTTTGCCAGAAATTTTTGCATCAAGTCCTGGGTCTTGATTTTTTTGGTTGTGAACACATAAGCATACATTTTGATTTGTCCGTGTTCAGAATCATTTGATTCTGTAAACACCGGTTTTCAATTTCACATAAATCAGGATTTAAATTGTTTCAATATTATGTACATTGCTGTTAGGTAAATGCAGAGTTGCATCGTCTGCGAACATATCGATATAAGAATAATTTACACATTAAGGAAGATCATTTATATACAATAAAAATAAGAGTGGACCTAAAGTAGATCCCTGTGGAACCTCTGCTGTGATAGGTAAAATATCGGAAGATCATGTGCCAATTCTAACACTTTGGGTCCTTTCACTGAAATAAGACTGAAACCACTTAATTGTAATTGGATCAAAATTATATTGTCTTAATTTCTCTATTAAAATATCATGGCTGGCTAAATCAAATGGCTTCCTAAAATCTAGAAAGGCTATACCAATGAAATTTCCTTGGTCCACTGCTTGTAGCCAGTTATCAGCTAAGTTTGGTTAGTGCTGTTTTGCAAGAGTGGAATTCCCTGAAACCAGACTGTGAGCTCATAATAAGGTCAAAGGTCAAAGGCTTTAGTGAATTAACATACTTAATTATCTAGGTGTTTTTCAAATGTTTTTGACAAAGTTGATAAGATAGATATTGGGCGGTAGTTGATTGGATCACTTTTGTCAACCTTTTTTATGGGGGTGACTTTAGCATGTTTCAGCTGGGAAAGGAAGATGCTATTAGTATTGCTAGTATTAATGAAATGAGTAACGGGTTTAGATATTACATTCGTAGAAAGTTTTTTAAAGACGGGGACCAATGAAGTCAACACCTGCTGATTTATTAATGTCAAGAGAGCGTAGCATAGTTAAGACATCGTCCGGACTTAAAGGAAGGAAGCTAAACACTTTTATCATTTAGTTTGGACTTCATCAATTCTTTTAACTTTTGAGAATTAAAGCTATGATTTTGTGTTTTAGTTACGATGCATTGTAAATCGCCAATTTCTGATCCATTGTCTTTAATAAGAATGGGAGAATATTTTTGACCTAGAAGATAAATGGTTGAGATAGTTTCACAATTCCCTAGGATTAGAGCTATTCTCAATTGATGTTTTGTAATAAGTCCATTTTGCATTATTAATCAAAAATTAACTTTATTTCTCCAATGTCGAAAGTTATCAAAGTCTTTATGTTGATGATAGTAATCTCATAATTGTCTAACATCATTAATTTCTTGTGTTAAGGAGACTAGCTGGTCAACAAATTAGTTTTTTTTATCAACCACCAGATATAACTTAAAATTTTGGATATGATTTCTTAAGCTGTCAACTAGCATTTGGCGAAGAAAAAATTCATAAATTTTAAAATTTGATCATTTTATTATATCTCTACATGGAGCTCTTCTAAAGGAGATCAAAATAGTCTAAAAATAGCCTCTTTAACCAATTTGGAGACTCGGTTTTTACACGTTTAGATTTTAACTAAGCATGCTCATTGAGAATGGTACATGTATTAAACATGCTGTAGAAGATTTCCAATATATCTTTAGGGTTGTGTAAATTTGTAAGAGAATTAAAATTGGCACTTTGTAAATTAGAAAGAAAGCCTTCCTCATAAAAATTCTTAAAATCTCTGTATTGAATTTCAGTGTGTTTTCCATTACGCTGCATGGTGTTAGATCTCGTTGCATGGTGTTAGATCTACGCGTTGCACAAATAGGATAATAGTCAGAGATAGCTATGGGTGGTACTTGGATTTCACAGATGTTATCAGGTTGGGTAGTGTAATAAAAATGATCAATAAGGGTAGATGAGGTGTTAGTAATTCTAGTAGGTGTAGTATTAGTTAAGAAAGTCCAAATTCTTCTAGTGCAAATGTCCTAGACTGAGGGGGGTCTTTAAGCAGATCTACATTAAAGTCATCTGTAAGTATGATTTCTTGGTCATCACAGCAGGGGGCACAGTTCATCTCCCTCGCTAGGTCCTCCACCAAGCAGGAGAGTGCAGATGGTGGGCGGTATGCAGAACAAAATATAGGTTTTTGTCCCCCGCTTTCGCGAAAGCGAGGGGACATTAAATCTCATTCGTCGGTCCGTCTGTCGGTCCGTCAGTCTGTCCGTCCGTACGGCGCGCGCGCGCGCGCGCGCGCGCGCGCGCGCGCGCGCGCGCGCGCGCGCGCGCGCGCGCGCGCGCGCGCGCGCGCGCGCGCGCGCGCGCGCGCGCGCGCGCGCGCGCGCGCGCGCGCGCGCGCGCGCGCGCGCGCGCGCGCGCGCGCGTATCGCGCGCGCGCGCGCGCGCGCGCGCGCGCGCGCGCGCGCGCGCGCGCGCGCGCGCGCGCGCGCGCGCGCGCGCGCGCGCGCGCGCGCGCGTTTGCGCGCGCTTTTTCAATAGCGCGCCGGCGCGCGCGCGCGCGCGCGCGCGCGCGCGCGCGCGCGCGCGCGCCGCCTACGGCCCAAGTCAATTTCAAAAGTTAATATATTCGATAAATTTTTAATATTTTTTATAATTTAGCGCGCGCGCGCGCGCGCGCGCGCGCGCGCGCGCGCGCGCGCGCGCGCGCGCGCGCGCGCGCGCGCGCGCGCGCGCGCGCGCGCGGCGACGCGCGCGCGCGCGCGCGCGCCGTCCGTCACAAAAACTTTAACCTTGCCCATAACTTTTGATTTAGTGGAGCTATAATTTTCATATTTCATATGTGTATTCCTTGTGATAAGACCTTTCTTCGGGTACCACCAAATTTGACCTTTTGACCTTGACCTTGGAGTTTCAACTACTTTTACTAAAAAATTCCAAACTTTTACTTTGGCCATAACTTTTGAATGGCAGGTACTAAGACTTTCATATTTCACATATTTATTCTTTGTGACAAGACCTTTCAATGAATACCAACAACTTTGACCTTTTGACCTTGACCTTGGAAATTTACGTACTTACGAAAAAACTATATCCTTGACCATAATTTTTGAACGGTAAGGGCTACGGCTTTTATACTTCACATATTTTATTCTTGTAAGAAGACCTTTCATTGGATACCAAGAACTTTGACCTTTTGACCTTGACCTTGGAGTTTTAACTACTTTTTTAAAATGATAACCTTGGTCACAACTTTTGAACGGTAGATACAAGGACTTTTATATTTCACACATGTATTCTTTGAGGCAACACCTTTCATTGGATACCAACAACTTTGACCTTTGGACCTTGGAGATTAACGTACTTCTGAAAAAACTTTAACCTTGACCATAACTTTTAAACGGTAAGGGCTAGGGCTTTTGTACTTCACATATGTAATCCTTGTAAGAAGACCTTTCATTGCATGCCAAGAACTTTGACCCTTTGACCTTGACGTTCTAACTACTTTTCAAAAACGTTAACCTTGGTCACAACTTTTAAACGGTAGAAACTAGGACTTTCATATTTTAAATATATGTATTCTTTATGGCAAGACCTTTCATAGGATACCAAAAACTGACCTATTGACCTTGACCTTAAAAATGATATCTTGCCCACAAAGATACCGAAAGCGGGGGACCACAATTCTTTGAATTTGCTTGTGTGTTCTTTAAATTGATTTCTAACCATATTGTCTCAATATTAGTAATTTTTAAATTTTTTCGACGTTTATAGGATAAATTATTTGAGATAAAAATAATTATTTCACCGCCTGCCTTATTAGTGGAGTATGCAAACAAAATATTAAATCTCTATCTTTCATGGTTCACTAGATACAGCGAATGTTAAAGATTGCAGACAATTTCTTTAGAGCAAAAAGGTCACAGTAAAGGTCACAAGATCATTCACTTTGGTGTCATATGAAAGAACTCTACTAGTGGAGTATGCATACTAAATATGAAGTCTCTATCTTTCATGGTTCAAAAGTTATGACAAAGGTTAAAGTTTGCAGGCAAACAGGACAAGAACAATATACGCCCCCGATCTATCTATCCGTGCGCATAATAAAAACAATCAGTGATGTTTCGCTTTTATTTAAAAGTGGAGAAGGCAATCGGAAAGAGGGACAGCGTATGATGAAGAAACTAACATTAAACAACATAAATGTGCAAACACGAATATCATTCTTCGGGGTTTGTTAGTTCCAATGCAATATATGGTGTGAAACATATGGAGATAAGGAACAGCTTTCAAGTCCATAAATCCAAAAAACAATACAAAAGGAGTAGCGCAAACATGGGCCTAAATAACATACAAAACATCAGAGGTGGGAGTCGCCCACGTGGCGCAGTGGTTAGAGCGTCTGCTCTAGAGTCGCGAAGTAAGGAGTCAATCCTTACGTCGCGGGTTCGAATCCCACTGTGGGACGTGGAGACCGGTCCTTCGGATGAGACCGTATAAACCGAGGCCCCGTGTCGCAGTAGGTGCTGGCACGAAAAAGATCCCTCACTGCTCAAAGGCCCTGAGTGCCAAGCATAGGACAAAATTTGTAGCCCTCCACCGGCAAGTGGTGGCGTCTCCATATGATTGAAAAATTCTCGAGAGGGACATTAAACAACATACAATCAATCAATCTGAGGTGGGATCAGGTGCCATGGAGGAATGAACATCTACTTCCGACCGGTCCGACTCGCCATGTACTTTTTCTCATGACCGGGTAAAAAAATTTCGTACACTGACCAAATGTTTTATTTTATAGTTTTAAAGATCATCATTACACATGATTTTACCTATGTTAGATGGGTGGGGACCAACCATTAATGAATAGTCTCTACATCTATAACAAAATTTATCATGCTCAATTTCTTTGACTGTCACCTGGTAAATTCAAAAATTAAAATCTGGCATAAAGTAAAACGGAAGGTGGAAAAAGGTATTGACTAGCCTAAGTTTAATTCTATTTGCTTGACTATCCAATTTTTTTTTAATTTTAATGTTTGAAAAACAAGAATGACTATATGTACGTATTAATTTCAACCTTAATGCTGCTGGAATAATCTGTTATCTTTTTTGATTAGCTGAAGCGCAAAGCTGCGGCCAACTGACGACTTGTACCTCCGCCTTAACCATTGCGGTCAACGGAGCAGGCCAGGATAAAAGCAAACTTTGCAGGTAGGTGATATTGTTTTGAAAAATGGACTGAAAAATGTTTGAAGATTTTTATGTTTCAATTTTAAGAATGATGATAATACAGATCTATAATAAAATGGATTCCAAATTATTCGGGACGGATTTTTGTTAGAAATAATGCGAAAATAAATTTCTAAAGTATAAAGAAATTCGTAATTTTCTTGTTTAAAAATTTTTCCCTTCTTTAGCAATGAAAAAAATTATTATTCATCTAATTCTTGTAAAACTATTAATGAAAAATCAAAATATATCCTGTTAAATTTATTCAGTTCGCTTATTAAATCATGTAAACATGGTCTAAATTGTTATCATACCAGTTCTAGCAAGAGGATGCTCTTTATTGTTTTGTCGCAGTTTTCTCTGTATATATTCACGTCTTATATAGATCCCTGAAATTTATGCTACCAATTTTTGTTTAGTCTGCCATTTCATCTGACATGAGAGTTTATATTCAGATCTAAAAATGAAATGTAAATAATGCATTGCAAAATGGTGCAGGGTTGCCATGACAAATGAAGGTGATAAAATACTAATTACCTTCAAATTATATCTTTCATTGTTTTTAATCACTCCATAATCTATTATTGAAAATTATCAGTATATGAATTCCTTTAAACATTAGAGTTGCTCTACTAGCTCTTCCTTTAGCAAAGACCAACACATGCATTCTGCTACAAATATATAAAGAAGTCGTTTTATTTCATACATGTATATGATTTGTTTAATTTTTTGCAGAGCCTACAATACTAATCTGAATTGTTTATATAAGGCTGTATCGGACTGTGGTGTGGATGTCAGCACCACAATAACAAATGTCAAAACATATTTGTCTTCGTACGGATGTAAGTAATACAAAATACATCTCTAAACACCAGTCCCCCACCTCTCCCATGTTACGTTTGATGGAGCTTTCAATGTTGAATTGTAACATCTAAACTCAGATTCATAAAAATCAATTGTTTACAATAATATGTGTCCAATAAAAGCTAGAGGTATTGTGAGCAATGAGCTCACTAAATGATCCCCCGCCTCCCATATGGTTATAATGGCAAAGGCCATGCTTTTCCCTGGCCGGTAAACTCAAAATATGTGTTAGATCAAAACGTAAAATAGGAGATGCGCAATGGCAATATGCAAAAAAGATTCTGTGAAAGTTTCATAAAAATTCACTCAGTGGAATAAGAGGAGTTGCGGATAAGAGATGGGTACCCGAAAGCGTAAAAGACAGACGGGCGGACGGACGTATAGACGGACGGACATACCGATTAATATATACCCTCCCGCTTTTCAAGCGAGGGGTATAATAACGAAATCATATTTAAGTGTAAATTACATAAACCCTATATTCAACAAGATAAATAAATTTTCATGACAATGTATGCATAATTACTGATTTAATTTCTGCATTATTTCTGTAAATACTTTCCTCTTGACAAAATGTATATCGGTGATTATTGCTATACTCTTTAAACCATCATTAATATTTCTGTTGTTCTACTTTTTACCAGGTTCCATTTCCGCCGTTAGTTCCACTTCAGGCTGCGGTTCCATGATGTCGCTTCTTAGCTGGCCGTCCCTAACACTCGGGGTTTTTCTTCATAAACTCTTTTGAAAAAGAATTCCACGTATTTGCAAAAAAAAAAATATAAATAAACTAGAATCTTGTTGCCATGGCAACAAATAAGTCTTCCGTTCTTCTAAATCTGTAAAAATTGCTTTTTTCTCTCTGCAAAAAACATAGATATCATATGTACTCTGAAAGGAAAAAAAAACTGCAAAAAGGTCTTTCAGTACTTAAGGTACTTTGATTTTCATGACCAATCTTGTTCTTATGCATTTTGGCACTCATAAGAGTACACGTATATCATAGACAAACCAACGGACGAACGAACACTGTACTCTCATAAACTTCACTGTGTTTATGTTCTGGCACAATTGTGATGGTGTTATAAAAATGTCATGAGCTAAGAAGTTAGTACCACATTGAACGTAAAGTCGTTGATTTTTACAGTAATACTATCGAGATTTGTCAGCAGAAAGATTATTCAACTACAGGAATTATTCAGCAATCGATTAATTGATTATATGTTGTTTAATGTCCCTCTCGAGAATTTTTCACATGGAGAAGCCTCCACTCGCCGGTGGAGACTGCAAAATGTTGTCCTATAATTTGGCTCTAATCTCCATTGAGCATTGAGGAATCTTTTTGAGTCAGTACCATCTGACACACGGGACCTCGATTTAAACGATCTCATCTGACGGACCAGTCTCCTCGTCCCACAACTGAAGTCCATAATACAGATATATGATGCTCTAGCCATGCTTTTGTTTTATTTTTTATTTCTCAAATTTGTTGCATCAGATTTTCTTAAAGATCATACTTCAATAAAAATCATTTCGAACAACTTTATTGCAATGCATACAGCGTCCGGTGATTTTGATTGACAGGTCAATACATGTGCACTTAGTGTAATACTTCTTAAGCAGAAAAAAATATACAGAGAGTGACTATGACGGACTATGAAATCAGAAAATATTTAATAAAGAATGGGTACAACTGATATAGAGCTGATTTTTTGTCTATGTAAATGGATAGGATAATCAGGATTAAAAGGGAATCTTTCTCTCTCTCAGACATGTAAATTTCAGTATCTTGCGTAATGAAAAATCTACTATTATAGAATATGAATTCTGAATACATGTTAATGGTAATTATAACCAAATGTTCCAGATTTAATTGTATAACGAATTTATAATTCAAAGGCTTATAGTTGCAATAATGTCTCCGAATAAAATCAAGAGGGCGGAGGGCTTCAAAAGAATTACATACTCGGTAATTTTATGTTTTATGAATTAAAAGGAAAATACTTAAGGTTGCATGTACATACATATAATTATATAGCATTGCATAAGATTGTGTTCATTCAAATACTTTATCTAACATATCAACAGACCTTTGCAGATGTTTTTGTATCATGTTTTTAGCGTAGCATTATTTCACACAGAAACGCGTAACTTTCAGATAATGTTAACCCTTTGAATACTAGTATTTCACAAAAATCCAAGAATCGCTTTTTCTCATCTTTAATAACTTCTCGGTTATATAAAAGTATAGATCATGTATAATAAATAACACTATAAGACTTTTAATCAATGAAATATACGTGTTAAAACCAAATCCATCTAAAGATTGATTTTCTTTCTTTTAAGTTACAGATATCAATTTATTTCTAAAGGTTTTACACCTTCTCTTCTTTCTCTCAGTCCCCTTTTGAGTACATATAATATTTTAGAATCGAAAATAAAACTCGGATTTCGGGATAATTTCGCATTCAAATTAGAGAATGTCAATTAAGAATATCTTTTTTAAATATAATCATAACAGACCTTACAGATTTACACTACGCTGACAACTTTAAACTATGCATATACTGAAAGCAGTAACCAACGTAATCTTTCATGCAGAAGTGGATATGGAAACTTAAAGTCTAATTAATATTTTTATGTGAAAAGTGTGGATATAGACGTCTGCGACGTCATGGATACTACCTCCGCCTTTATCTCGAAAGTTCTATTCCCACTTACAAGTCAGAGTTATCTATCTTTGCTCATTGTCACTACGTAAATAGAGAAAATGAATTTATTGACGGAACCTTAAATCTCCAAAATGCAGAATCCGATTGAATAAATAAAATGTTTAGTATTTTTGTAGAATAATTTCTATATACATCGCTGTAATGTATACTGCGTACAATATTATTTTCTTCAAAGTGCTTAGTTGACACAGCTCAGAACGGAAATTTTTTTTTAGATATAAATTTGTAAATCAAAAACTTTCAATATACAGACTAACACTACACAGCCAAATTCAAACTAATATGCATTTAGTGAATTAAGTAACATGCAAAAGAGAGAATATTGAATGTGTATATATGTTGATCTGGAGAGCGTAACGTCATCAATACTATTTCCACCTTTATCTCGAAAGTTCTATTCTCATTCACAGGTCAGAGTTATCTTTCTTTGCCCACCTTATACATACAACGTAAATAGAGAAAATTTCGGTACCGAAAATATACAAAATGCGGAATCTGAGTTAGAAACAAATTATATATTTAGTATTTGTAGAAAAATGTCTGTTTTACATAAGAATATCTTGAAAAAATATCTAAAAACAAAAATATCAAAAATTGACCAAAAACAAATTCACTTCCGGTTCGGACAGGAAGTACTGGAAACACACGAAAACAACTTCAAAACAAATAGAATATCATGATCTAATATTCCTGTAAATTTCATATCTTTAACTCAAACCGTTTCCGAGAAAACTGCCGGACAAAAGTCCATTTTAAAATTTGTAAATCGGCCATAACTTCGGACCGGAAGTGAATTTTTCAAAAAAACGGAATTTTATATAAACTTCATATATCAACCTACTTACATGAGAAAAATTGTGAAAATCTATCCAGCCATCTCTGAGTAATTGCGCTCACAAAATTTGGGAGGAGGAATAATAATAATAATAATAATAATAATAATAATAATAAAAAGAAACAATACAAACACTATAAGTCTTCCGTTGTGAACGGAAGACTTAATAAATAATAAGGATCATCAAACATTAGATTTCCACGTTTCTTTGCAGAAAGATATTTATTATTTTAATTAATTCTAAAAAGACTAACAAAGTAATGTCTTGTATTTTTCTGCGTTTTAACATTTAAATCTGATTGTTGTTCATCTTAAATGATTATGTTTAATCTTATCTTTCCTACCTATAGTTTTATTGTTTATAGTCATAGAAATATTTTAATGAAAATTATATTTACAGTTCTTATATGTTTTTTTTTCTTTATCCTTAATTGTGCGAAGGCAAAGATTTCCTTTTTTTGTATTTAGATAACGTTTGCGATCATTTAGATCTACAAAAGCCCATTGGTGACCAGAAATAAGTATCAGATCAAAAGGTAAAATAGAAAATGCACAATGACAATGTGTGTTAAAGAATCTGTGGATGAATCATTAAATTTTAATTAGTACGTGGTGTAATGGGAGTTGCAGATAAAAGATGTGTACCCTTCTCTATTATAGAAAGAATTTCAGTGTCTATATTTTGTGATGAAACCTAAATCCATTTCGAATCAAAACGTCTAAAGCAACTTTGAAAAAAAGATTCTGTGAAAGTATGATTTATTTCAATTCAGTGGTATAAGTGGAGTGGCCGATAAGAAATGTAAGAAATGGGTACTCCTAAGCGTAACAGACGAACAGATATTCCGATAACTATGTACATTCCCACGTAATTTATTCCTCAATAATATTCATTAGATACTGTATAAGCTTCAAATATTCATTTCTTTATAGCTTTATGTTAAAACCTGCAAGCCTGGTTTTGTATTTAAGAGCCTCCGTCATATTTACATAGCTAGAATTTTGTCTGACGACTCAGAATATCGTTTTTCTATGTTAATGAGTCATCATACTGTAAAATTGCGTTTTTTAAATTAAAAAGTCTGTCGTAACGCCTCATGGAATAGTAAATCTTGTGTATTTTTAGAAATGGATCTCTTCTGTACCTTTAAATCGGCTGAAGAACTCTGTCAACTTGCAATAAACACTTACATTTCATCATTAAAAACGATGAAATGCCAATTCTGTACTCATTCCTTCATTAAAACAATACACTCTCGCTTCGAATTTTCAAATCAAAAAGGCGTTCGCAGCTTTCACTTTGGTATTTACAATCTTGTCATTTCCGGTAGAAAATATAAGGAAGAATCAAACCATCGGAGGAAGAACTTTATCCGAAATAGATAGGATATAAAAAAAAATTGCGATTTTTTTTTTTTGTATTTTTTCTTCATTAACCTGAATGAAATCGGCCGCCATTATAGTTCAAAAATGGCCGATATGCACATTAGCAGAATCAACACTATTTCTCCACATGCGATGTTTTGACTCAATTTAAAAAAAATACCCCTAAAATCCTGTTAAATTAACGTTAAAATATATTAAAAGTGCGTTTAAAATTAAAATGTCACTTTTTCCCTCGCAATGTTCGTTTGCGTTCTTTAACTCTGCAACGTAACTAACAGCTCTTACGTCTATAAAGCACATCAAATTCGAAGGGCGTTTAATTCACATGAAAGATTAACAAAATAAACAATACGAATACGAAAAATAGGGAATGTAACTATAAGCATTGAATTCATATTTTTGGATGTCGTCGGTCCTTTAACACACCTGGCCTTGCCGATAGATCATCATACAAATTGTCGGCATGGCCAGGTTTGTTATAGGACCGAAGACATCCAAAAATATGGATTCAGTGCGGTATGACAATTTGTCGGCACGGCCAGGTGTGTTACATGTATAGGACCGACGACATCCATTTAATATGAATTCAATGCTTAATGGAAGGTCAGAGTTCAAATTCGTTGTATACTATATAGAAGTTTAATTGTGACGTCATGGATAATTTAACAAGCCACAAAATTAATTAACGATATTGTGATGCGTACATAACAACCTAGATTTATTTACTTTATCAATTATTTATAAAATCTTGTAAAATTGCAATTGATAGCAATAGAGTTGAATAATAGAAGAAAGCTTCTCGTCAAATATGACGTCATCGGTCTTAAAAT